TATTTCCATACATTCCAAATGCAGGTTTCAAAAGCTTTGTTAAGGTCATAAGGATTACGACGAGGAAATGCAACAATACAGGTTACTAGAATAGTACCTGTTTTCTATTTCACTTATTATGTTGTTTTAACAAATAGGGTCATGAAACGCGCAAATTATGCCACGTTATTATACTGCAGAACAGGGCAAAAATACGGAAGCAGAAGACTGAATGATCCAAGCTTTGATTTGTTTCTTTCGTTTTTCAGACTTGACTTTCCGAGAGACGAACTTTTAAGCATGGCAGATTTTTTTTGTTGATCACAAAGAACGCTTTAATGGAAGAAATCCAACTAGAGGAGATCTAAGGAAAGAAAAAAAAATTGTCAGTTGAACATGTTATATATTTGGGGAGCGGTGCGTGACAGGGGCGTGACATCCTGAATATTACTTTGTTCCCGGGCTCTCTCTCTTCTAAAAGAACGAAAGAGGAGAGAACCTGGGAGCAAGGTTGAATATTGGTCGACATCTCATCCAACCTGCTTAATTCGTGACAAGGCAAAGGTTTTTCTCTCTTTCAGGGTGAGACTCTCGTATCTTTATTTTATATTTCATGGATTCAGGTGACCCAAATTTTTTGTCTGTTCTGCTTTCCATTGGTCGAGAACTGACGGATGAAGATTTTGAGAATTTGAAGTTTTTGTGCGAGGGAACGATTCCGGCGAGTCACCTCGAGACGGTGAAGCGTCCACGGGAGCTTTTTCTCGAACTAATTCACTGCTGTGATCTCAGCAATGACAATAAAGACCCCCTGTCCTCACTTCTCTTCCACATCGGACGACAGGACCTCAGAAATCTTCTTCTTGGAGTCCAAGGTTAGTATTCCACCCCCGATATTCCGGAAGCTCGAGAGGTTCGCACGATATTTGCTCATAGCTTAAACTTTTAGAGTGTTTGATTTTTATTTTGATTTTAAAAAGTAAACATGAAGTTATAACCCCGTATTGACGGCATAAAGATCCGTTTCTTGGCGGAATGATTTTAAGAGGTGGTTTTCAAGAAGATATTGGTTCTGACAATTAGAAAAACTGCGGACGTGATCTCCTATTGTCGTTCAAGGGGGGTGGAGACAAATACTTATACAAACTATTGACTAATAGGAACCAGTATGTCGAGCACATTTTATGTGTATGACGCAAACTGTTCGCCCAAATGCCTAATTGTCCGGAAAAAAACATTTTTGTATTTTTTGAAGCGTATATATCTGTGCTACGAAGGTTTTTTTTTTCAGTTGGGACAGCGCCTTTTCCGTAATAGCGTAATTATAAATCGTTCTGAATTTTATAGGCTGCGTTCGGTGTGCATGCATAATTGAGTGGAAATAATTCATGTGCCAAGCTTTACCGTGGTTATTATCTTTTAGTTGAATTTATTTTGAGGTTTCTAACAGAAACCATTCGCCTTAAATGGCGTAAATATGGTCTTATAACATGAACACCAAACAATTTAGCTAAATTTTAGTTACAGAAGAAAGAAATATCGTTTAATTTTTACTTTCTGCACGTGATAACCGTGTGATTAGTGTCTGTGGTACCATTTACATGTGTAAGCGTGTCATCGCAGGTTGGAAGAATTCATTTTTGATCACAAAGTGAAAAATACCCCTTGTTTAATATTTTAAATACAATCATCCTTTCAATTGATAATTACATAATTTTTTACTTCTCTTATGATTATTGATCATGAGATAAGACCAAGAGGGGTCCAATTCAGTCTGTAACTTTGCGAAAAATTAACAGTATCTGATGCTCGAATGCAAGAGTCAAAATTTACAAATTGGGAGTATGACTTTCGACAAAACTGGACAACTCAAAGTGCCGTTATCACTAAATCAAAACTATGAAAACATGTGAGATTCAAGATATTCTTCTGTTTGACATATTCATGAATAAAAATAACAGTTGACTTATTTCCTTAACACAATTAATGTAACAGTCAATAGCTGAATATCTGAAAAAGGAGTACAATCTACTTGGATCTATATGTACACAGTGAGTGAGGCATGACTTGTTATCTGCCTTATTGCTATACAAGTACACTGTCCAATTTCACAAGTGTAGCTCATGTACTGTCCTATAAGCATTCAAAGTGGGCTATTTACTACTTACAAAAAAATCAAGTTTGAGGAATTTGTTGAAGATTTGATTGAAGCATTTAAAGTTAACAAGATTAGTTATCACTAATTTTTAAAGCTGCTAACTTATACAAGAAAACCAAGTAGAGAAAAGGGAAACATTGATAAATAAATGAATAACCTTGTATAGCAGTGGTCAAGCTTATACTGATAAGATTTTATCTCCTCAGTTTCTGTTCATCATTGATTTTGCCTCACTTTTTTTATGATCATCATCATTATGATATTTTTTCTTTCCATAAGGAGTGGTTATCAAAAAGGCATTTCAGAACCTAGGCGGCATTCCCTCCAAAGTTCCAAATTTTGTTGGACGGAAAGGTCAATGTTCCACAGTACTAGAAAAACTTTTGGCAAGTGATTCCTGTCAGATAGTCTCCATTACTGGACCTCCTGGTTTTGGAAAGAGTGCGGTGGCCATTCAAGTAGGACATGAACTAATAGCACAAGGGAAAACAAATGTGTATTATGTCTCCCTCAGGAGTTTGACATCCTTAAATGCAATGGTGAACTCCCTACTTGGAGCTCTTCAAATTTTGGCTGGGAGGCAGCCAATTGAGCAAGCCAAGCACTGCCTTCGCACGTTAACAAAGCACTCTGTCATCATTCTGGACAATGCTGAAGACATGTTACTGCCCCAAGTGAAGGATGAATTTTGTAATTTTATTGGTACTGTTGCACAGACTACTTCTCATGTGAAAATCCTGATTACATCACGTCAATCTATTACTTTCATCTCCGTTGAAATGTTTGAGCTCCGGCTAGACTCTCTTTGTCCAGATCATGCCAAAGAGTTGCTTCTGACGCTGGAGTCCAAAGTATCTGAAGAGGATGCAGAACAGCTAGCCAATCACTGTGGTGGGGTGCCACTTGTTCTGCGCACCACAGCAGCCCTATTGGCAAAAGGGGTAGATGCTAAAGCTCTGATCCATGAGTTCCAGATGAGCCCTGTGTCAACTCTAAAATCTTTCAGTCTCAATTCACTCAGCCATGAGCATCAACTATTTAACTGTCTCAGAATCTGCTTCAGCCGACTTGATCATGACCAGCAAGTTGCCATGATATCTCTTGCAGTTTTCCCAACAACATTCACTTTGGCTGATGCCCATTTTCTCCTCAAAGACCTGTCAGACTTCAAGTTGGGGATATTGCTTCAAAACCTTGTGGATAACTCCATGCTCCAATTTGATCACTTACTAAAGCAGTATTACGTGCACAGTATAATCCAGTCGTTTTGTCATGATCGTGTGAACCAAGAAGAAGATTTGTACCCAATTTACCAGTCAGCTATGAAAGTGTTCAATATTCACTACTTGGGAAAGTTAAAGGAACTCTATGCAGTTTTCCTGTCCAAAGATTGTTGCCGGGCTGTCCAGCTTTTCTTGATCAATCGTCTTAACATCAGGCAGGCCCTGAAAGACTCTGTAACTGATCCTGACCTGGATAAAATGTGTATTGACACTGCTGTTGAAGTAACTCCTTTCCTTGCAAAGGTGTTTAGAAAGGAGAAGTTTCTCTCAGTTTTTGGGATGTTTACAGAGGCCTGCAAAGCAAGTGATGATAAAAAGAGATATAGCGACTGCTTGACTTCTGAGGCATATTGTATCCTTTCGCACTGCGCCTGTCATCTGCCATGTCCATCAGCTGTTGCCAGATTTAAGGAGGCTGACAAGATACAGAAAGAAATTAAAGATAACTCTTCCCTTGTGCGTGCATTTTGCCTGAGTAAACTTGGCCGCTGCTTTGGACAACAGAAAGATTTGCATGAAGCCCTTCCACGCATAAAGGAAGCAATTGAGATCAGGAAGCAACACAAGGATAAGATTTTTGTTGCAGTGGGCTATAAAGACCTTGGAGGTAAAATAAATAGGCTGGTATGAATTTTAATATTGTGTAATAGTACACTGTACATGTTTCACTCCAATAATCTGTTAAGATTTCCTTAATAACAAAGGGCCAGTGCAGAAATTGAGTACATTGGAAGTTGTGATAATTGACCAATTGCCCTTGACTTCAGCAGCTACTGACAGTATACCTTCCTCCTTTGTATTATTCCCTCACATTACATGCATCTCTTAATGAGTAAAACCATATTTTTACATCTACTTGTAGCTGCTTATGCTTTCAATGATGCTCACCAAGAGGCTAACAAGTTCAGAGAAGAATACTCCCTTCCAGTGTATTTAGAGTCACTTGGAGATCATCCATTTACTGCTACCCTGATGGACGACATGGGCATATCATACCAGGCCCTTGGAAACTATGAAAGTGCAATTAAGTTCCTCCGTGAAGCACTGCGCATGAGGAATCAGTCACTGGGTGATCACCAAGAAACAGCACGTTCCTTCCACGGTCTTGGAAAGGTACATCATTTTACCCTTAAACTCCTATAAGTGACCAAGATGGGATTTCTCCTTACAGTATCAATACAAGATCAAGCAGAAAAGTGATGAGAACAAAGTAAAATATTAATAAGGGATTGTTATTTGATGCAATACCAAGTTCTCCAAATTAACATCATAAGACATCATAAGAATTGCATAGCAGATAGTAAGGAGAATTAATCTAGAGATCTTGGGATTGAAAGGGTTAACATACAAGTATTAATTCTCCTTTGTCTTGCTAAATATGGTTAAATGGTTTCCAAGTCAGAATTACTTGTTTTCAACTGCATGTTGCTCTTGTTTGAAATTAACAGGCCCTAGCTATGAAGGGAGAGCTGAACGAGGCTCTAGAAACTCTGAGAGGTGCACTTCGCATTCAAGACAAGGTTCTAGGGAACCACCAGGAAACAGTGCGCACACACAGAGAGATAGCTCATGTCCTCAAACAGCTTGGGCGGCATGATGAAGCCAAAGATGAAGAGCAGTTGGCTATGAAAAGATGGTCATCTATCGAGGAACCACAACCAGAGAAGTGATTTTTTTTAATCCACTGGGAAGAAAATTCACCTGTACCTGGTGCTTTAATAAGTCCAACCTTTTTGTTCATCGTGGATTGTACATAGTGAAGTGGTAAATATTGGGGCTTTTCAAGGCTCAGATTGTATAGAATTTTATCTTCAATGTAGGTTTAGAAAACAGTGACATTTTTACAATGATCATGACTAAATAATAATAATAACTAAATCAATAACTAAAAATTTTCAAAACTGAACTAAGACATTTGTTAAAACATTACTGTAGGCTCTAGTTTGTCTTTCAAGAAATAGTCCTAATTATGATATATTAAAGTTCACAAGGCAACCAGGTGGACAATCTAAGCAACAATCACAATTTAAAAACTGTGATGATGGTGGCTTACTACCTGACGCCTATTCACACCTCGTCAAAAAAGGGAAGCTAATTAGTTAGCATATAAAAGGACCTCTTGTTGCAGCATATAAGGACCATGCCTGATGAAGGCACTAGACAGGAGTGGTGAAAGGTTTGGTCTATGAATTGTAACTTACCGGTGACATTAATTAAATCTTTAAACCAGAGTAACATCAAACCATGTCTGAGTCCTAATTATGTGTAAAATTCAGCTGACATACATGAAATATTTTATAACAATTTTTTTAGAGCATTTTCAGTTTCAATTGGTAGTTCTAATGTTGCATAAAGAGAAATTCCCATTACAAGGCATAGATGTACACATGCTTCTCCTACAGTGTAATGAAGTAAACAAAAGTAGAATATGAAGCTTGTGTGTGTAATTGAATAAGATTAAATTAATTTAGTAGTTGCAGCTGTACTGGTAATTCTTAAAGCTTGTTATATCTCCTCTTTTTTTCTAGTGAGATGTACATGTACATGTAAGTACATAGTGAGTTTTCTTTATTTACACTGTACGAGGGTCTCCTCTGTTTTTAAAGACACACATAATTTTGGTATCACAGTATCTTAGACACTGAATCAAATCCAGTGAAAGAAATATCATATAATATTATTTTAAAAAGATATAACTCCCTGAATGTTGTTGCCTTTTAGTTAAGTATCTGTTGAATCTTATAAAATTTAGGACATATGAAATGAATAATAATATGCTGTATATCAGTCTAACATCCCTTCACCCCTCCCCCCCCATTAAGAAAAATTAATAGTTGCAGAACTTTCTGTGAACAACATTTTGTAATAAGATGGGAAGAAGAATAATATTTATTGAGGATTGGTTTTTCAGAAATGTAATTTAAAATTTTTCAATTAACAAATTTTTTGTGTTATATGCATTTTGTTTACGCCTGTGTTTTAATTTGTTATCTATTGTACATATCGTCAACTTTCATGGGTAGTAACATGATTTCGAGTGTAATTTGGTGTTCATAAACACTGGTAAATTTTTCAAAGACAACCAATTTACATGATCCACGTATTTATGAATAATATATGTGAAAAAAAATTATGCTTGTCTGATTGGCTGTAAGTAAGTGTAATTTTCATGTAACAGGAGTGCAAAGCTGTAATACTGAAAAGCCATTGTTAAAAAATCACCTTACTACATGGGCAAAAAAATGATGATTATTAAAATTTATGTCAGGAAGAACCAATTTTTGAAATTGTATTTCTTGTTGTACTTGAAGTCAGCTTTCCTTAAGCTATCAGGCACCATTGACTAATGTAGCTTGGAATTATGTTGCCAATGGTGTCTTGGGCTGTCATAGCTATACAGTTATGGAATGGCAGCCAGTCATTAAGCCTTGGTCAGAGCCATCTTGATAGTAGCGCAGAACCTTGCAAAATTAAATAGAGCTCAGTTGAACCCTTTTTTCTGCTTACAGTACTTCCCATCCTTAGGGAAAAGGGCCAAGATTTGTTGATGTTCTGCTTTAATTCCTTAACTCTGGCAATTTTTTTTTCCACTTTTTACCCAAAAGGTAAACGTACCTGTTTCCTATGCCTCCTTAGAAAGATGAATCACTGTCATATCTAGATTGTAAAGCTGTTTACCTGAAACATGTCCTAGTGAGATCTTTAATACAAGAAATGTTCTGGATTTGAAGCAGTCTTTTTAAATTCATTTCCCATTTTTAGATAAATGAAATTCCTGCCTCTGCATCTACACATTGGCACTCAATAGTACCTATTTTAGGCGAAACGTCCTTCACGGCCTTTCTGTAAGGGTATACCCCAGAAATAATTGATTCTGCCAAACTTCGTGTGAGATAAATCATAGATATTAATTTTTATTCTAAGTTAGAGAACTGTTTAGAATTTAACAACATTGAAAATTATACTATTCAGATATAGATATGAAGTTCCACTTCACTAATCCACATCTCTGCGGTCAAAATCTGTGTTATTATACTTTAGGCATAACTTATTAAATGACAGCTTTCAAATAAAGTTTGACTACTTGAGCACTGATCGAAAGATTCGTCGACTCATTTGTGAAAAATTTTTACGAATATCTTGCAAATTTCTCTCATTATCCTCCTGATTATGTACCGACTGACCCACAAACTCTTGATTATCAATAATACTGAATTACCCTGTTATTACCCTGTTATACGCCCCCACCGATGTAGCACCACAGTTTTTATACGAAAGTACTCCATTCATTCATAATTACACATACAGTCAAGTTTGTTAGAAAATGTAGCCAGGTGTCAATTTCCGAGCTGTTCTGCGTGACTAGACTCACCCTCAACATTTTGTGGTGTCACGCGAATCGTTTTTTAATCACTTAGGTAACGTTTGCGTGGCTTGAGACGGGAAGTCTGTCAGACATGGCGCAGTCCACTCGACCGCCGAATATTTCGCTACCCCCTAGAAATAAAGCAGAGTTCGATACTTTCTTGGGTGACATTGCTCGCGAAATAACAAAAGAAGAGTTGGACAAAATGAAATTTCTCTGTGCCAGACAATACAACAATAATAATTATTTGCCACGAGGAGAGCTCGATGCCATCGAAAGACAACATGAGTTTTTACGCTTCTTAAGCCAAGAAGAAAAAATCTGCCAAGAAGACGTGTCTTATTTGGTATGGCTTCTAAGAACCGTCGGATGCATCGAACTGGCCGTTTCAATTGAAAAACATGGTAAGATTCTGGTTAAGACCTGTGTGCAGATAGATTTGCTAAGATCGAATAAAACATTTATTGTTTTTCTTTATGAATGATGCGAATTGACAGATCTCGGATAAATTCTTGTCACGTCTTCGATAAAATCAAAGTTGATCTCGCTGTGAGCGCATGAAAGAAAGTTAACGATAAAGGTAAATGCGCCAAAATTGGCAATAGATTTCAGGTCGAAGAGTTTGCAGTTGCAAATTGCAGCAGCATCGAATGATGTTTGATTGGCAGTAAGGTTAGTAGATTTGAAACGGCGTGCATGCTTTGTTCGCTGCGTTTGTCACCGCTCTCAAAGAGAACGGTAATTAGATAACAGCTTAATATGTGACTAACATAGTCTATAGACTGTGCGATTTTACGCCACTATATATCTCCGTCGGTATAAATACATACTGTAAGATTTTAAGCCGTTAACTAACGGCGTAAAATCTCTCAGTACGCCGTTAATTAACGGCGTATTTTGGCTCAGTCGGTATAGGTACATAGAGTAAGATTTTACGCCTTCAACTGAAGGCATAATTTGGCTCAGTCGGTATATATACATATGTCGGATCAATACCAGTATCTGGGCCAAAGTAGCTATGTAACAGAGTTATTTAATTTTACGATTAAGCTATATATTTACTTTAAGATTTTACACAGGCAACTAATGGCGTAGTTTCATTCAGTTGGTACATTAACATGCTGTAGGATTTTACGTCGTTAACCAGCGGCGCTATTTCTTCCAATCGGTAATATACATACTGTAAGATTTTAAGCCGTTAACTAACAGCGTAAAATCGCTCAGTACGCCGTTAACTAACTCAGTCGATATATATACATACTACCTATCATTAAAATCTGTCTGATGATCGCGTAAGCGTGAAACTCACTCAGAGTCACAGAAAAGTTATCTCATTGATTAGTTCAACCTTCAGATACACTATTTGCACGCCATTCCAAACAGCTGTAAAAACACAGATCTTCTTATAATATTTTCCTCTTAACCATTATCGAGTCTTATACTTAAAGAAATATTTTTTAGTCCAAGCCGAAAAGTATTTGACTTTAGATTTTGTCCGGTGTGTATCACTGTAACCTTGGGCCCATCGGTTAACGCAAAGTGTAGTCGCGTATTATGCGAACGCGTTATTGTGTGACAACAACACTGCAACGACTTATTATGTCAATCGGTTAGATTTTTTAAAAAAAAAAACTTAGCTTTCTAGACAAGATCTTAAGTAAAAAACAATTATTTTTATTTCCAACATAGTTTATAAGGATCTCAAGGCGAATAAAGCAAGGTGAACAGAACGAGGTCTCGTACGGGCCTGAATTTTTTTCAGGTCCTATTTACAAATACTCGTTTCAGTAGTGTTCTTAGCTGCGAGGATCTCCTAATTTCATCTTTCCACCGCAGTGCAAATATGTGAAATTTTCATATATCTAAAATCTTCATTCACTTGGATGTTTATTTGTACCCAATTCATTGACCAGCTCCCAGTTGGCTTGTTAGCTCAATTGGTAGAGCGCTGCACCGGTATCGCAGAGGTCATGGTTTCAAATCCCGTACGGGCCTGAATTTTTTTCAGGTCCTATTTACAACTACTCGTTTCAATAGTGTTCTTAGCTGCGAGGATCTCCTAATTTCAACAGAACGAGGTCTTTTAATTAAGACCGCGGATCTCTCTCCATGTGCTAGTCACGTGACATACGTACACATAATACACAGGGATACCATACTACACTATGTACATTATGCAATTATTCTGCGTTTAATTTCGACATCTATTTCAATAATTGGGCCGCTGTTTTTTTCACCATTCTCATATTTCTGCCAAAATCCAAACACCTTACTCTGCAATTGTCTATAAGCCCTTCTTTGGATTCTGGTCAGCTTCTGGTTAGATACTAATCGTTTTTGTGTGGCCACCGATTTTGCTTCCCTGTGTAAAAGCTCTATTAGTTCGTAAAACGGAAGATGCCTCCCCATTGCTCTTCTATTAGGTGCATGATGCCAACCTGGGAATGTAAAGATTAGCACAAAACGAAGGAGACGTGAAGGAAATACATATGATGTTTCTGCATACCGTCATTAGACATTTAAGGTCCTGTATAATTTACCATTCAATTTTCAAAATAAAAGTACCTTCAGTGTCGTTGTTAGTCCTTGTAGGCTGGCCATAAACACCCCAGTCTTTGGGCGTGAATGCAAGGGACTGAACCCACTGATTTTCAATGTATCTTGTAAGCTCGCGGAGGGCTGGTGATGTGGCGTGTTCTTTCAAAGACTCGAACATAGCTGGAATTTCATGGCTCGGAAGGAAGGGCAACGCCATCAACTTGCGGAGGTACTTGAAGGTCCCTTCGTCTCTCTGATAAAGGACTTGAAGCCCCAATTCTTGAATCTATATAGAAACAAACAGACATATAACGTGTTATACAAATCATAATCGTAACATTGTCTATTAACTTTATGGTAAACTTTACTTAACCAACCTTTCACCATAATGCCTAGATTCAATGGAACACGCAGCCCTGAAGTTGTACTGCGGGCAGTACATACCTCATAGCCGCCCACATAGCTGCCTCAAAATCCAACGTAACTTGTTTTACTGCTGGAGGGGTCGGAAGGGCATTCAGTGATTTCCCTTTGGAAGGACGGTACACTGCCAATATATCGCGTAAGGCTGCCTGGACGACGCGTTATAAGTGAAGCCTAGACTGTCAATAACAATTTTTTTTTTTTTCACGAAAGATCTTGTCTAGAAAGCTAAGTTTTTTTTTACAAAATCTGACCGATTGACATGATGAGCCTTTACAGTGTTGTTGGCGCATAATAACTTGTTCGCGTCTAAAGCTTTTTTTGGTCATTGGCGATGTTTACCTTGCTTTATTCGCTTTGAGATCCTTATAAACTTCGTTAGAAATGAAAAGAATTGTTTTTTACTAAACATCTCGTTTAGAAAGCCAAGTTTTCATAAAAAAATCTGACCAATTGACATGATGAGTCGTTACAGTGTTGTTGTCACACAACTCCTTCGCGTCTGAAGCTTTTATAGTCACTGGAGATGTTTACCTTGTTTTATTCGGCATGAGATCCTTATAAACTTTGTTGGAAGAAAAAAAAAATTGTTTTTTTACCAAAGATCTGTTACTTTTCTATATGTTTAACGTCTAATAAGTTGTACTGGATTGAAGACCAACTCGCCGACGTCTCTACTCGATTATATACGTCGATGAGTTGGCGTTGGCGAGTTAAACCGTCGGCGACTTGACTGGATATCTTAAGAGCTGATAAAGAAACACTTCGAAACGAACTCAATGACATGCCAGCGTTGAAACGGAAACTTTTCAGGGAGAATGCGAATCTGTGAAATTCTTCACGGGATTTCCAGCTTTGGCCAGTCTAATGGCGATATTTAATAATTTGAAACCTT